CTGTAAAGTTTGGTGGAGGAGGGATAATGGTGTGGGGTTGTTTTTCAGGGGTTGGGCTGGGCCCCTTAGTTCCAGTGAAGGGAACTCTTAATGCTTCAGCATACCAAGACATTTTGGATAATTCTATGCTCCCAGCCTTGTGGATACAGTTTGGGGAAGGCGGCCCTTTTCTGTTACAGCATGACTGTGCCCCAGTGCACAAAGCAAGGTCCGTAAAGACATGGTTGGGTGAGTTTGGTGTGGAAGAACTTGACCGACCCACACAGAGCCCTGACCTCAACCCCATCGAACACCTTTGGGATGAACTGGAATGGAGATTGTGAGCCAGGCCTTCACGTCCAACATCAGTGCCTGACCTCACATATGCTCTTCTGGATAAATGGGCAAGAATTCCCACAGACACACTCCAAAATGTTGTGGAAAGTCTTTCCAGAAGAATGGCAGCTGTTATAGCTGCAAAGGGGGGACCGACTCCATATCGATACCTATGGATTTAGAATGTGATGTCATAAAAGTTCCTGTAGGTGTAATGGCCAGGTGTCCCAATACTTTTGTCCATATAATGCATTAACCTGGGGCCCTCAGGCCTTCTTACAGTGCTCTAGTTGCTCCTTATCCTCCTTGGTCTGTTTCTCTCACCGCTTCCCTAAGCAGACACAGCTTTAACGGTCCACAGGCGACGCACATGCCGTGACCTTACCATACCATGGCATGGCTACAGACATAAACTGAAACTGCAGTGTTAAAAAAAAAAAATAATCCAATTGAAGGTGACGACATTAGTCATATTAGGCGTGGTGTCTTATCACAACCTTCACACTGACAATTTAGGTCTATCTCTGACTAGCAGTTTCTTCTTTAGTCCTGGTCCGCGTGATCTTTCTTAACAGCAGTTCTTATATATAGACCTTACTGTACCATCGATATTACTTATTCCATTAAATACTAGGAAATGGAGAAAGTTAACATTTAGTTAAGTTGATGTTTACAAATTCTCTACTGAATATGAATTAGTTTCAATAACAATTTTACAGATTAATGTTTTAAATTGGACCACTGAACCATAATTTAGTGAAATGTTAGGCGATGTGTTTAATTACAGGTAAAAATGCTGACATTCTGATGCAAAACTCCATTGTGCAACCACCATAATTTATTTTTTTGCCAGTATTTTTGACAAACTGACACCAGATAGACTTGTGCATCTCAGCAAAGTATCTGTACCTCTCATGCAATGCAGCTCGTGTCTGTGGGTTATTGTCCCTCTCACCATCATATTGCTACGTATATTTTCACTGCAGAAGGAAACATTATGCATGTCAGAATGGGAAACTGAGATGCTTAATTCAAAGCAGCAGCGAGGGCAACACAGACATAAAACAAATAATCTAAAATATAAAACATTAATGGTTAAAATCCTCTGTATTTAGTTCTTGCAATTCTATAACAATGGTATCTGTTTAAGAAAAAACAGTACAAAAACAAAAGCATTAAGCACACATAGAACAGTCTGACAAGAGCTTCACTGGAAGTTCAGCATCTGTCCCAGTCAGGCCATCTGCTGACACCAGAATTCCAAACAGACCTTCCAACCTGATGCAAGTGTCCGTCAACAATCTGCAAGTAGGATTCATGTGTCCACAGGTAAAATCCAGCGACCACTGTCAATCATCTTTGCCCCTCTGCCTGAGGCTCCTGGATTTGCCATTGTCCATCTTTCTCTTCTTAAAGACTGCCCCCTGGTCACCTTCATCCCCCAGCGACGTGATGGTGCGCTCCCTGAACTTGACCTTAGGCTCAGGGGGTAGGTCAGTGCCTGTGGCTGCACCCACACCTTCTACCTGGGGCAGCTGCAGGTCCACCTGCTCACTGTAGGGTGGTAAATGGGTTAGATATCACGCTGAGATGTCACGCGCCATCCTGACAGGGAACCAAAACATTTTATCCAAGTTTTCTCAGCTGTTCCTCTGTAGCCATGTGTACCATATCCAAATACATGAAATATGTGTAAGAGTTTTTTAAAAAGCTGGATGAACTTACTATGGGTCAGGCTCCTCCTGGATCTGCTCCCATTCACCATACGGGTTCGTCTTCCGTCGTCTTTTAGCTGGGATCACCTCTACTACAGGAGCACTGCCATTATCATTTTTACCATTATCACCATCACCACCATCCTCCTCCTCCTCCTCTTCTTCTTTCTCCTCCTCCTCCTCCTCCTCCTCGTGAATGGCTCCACCATCATCCTCTTTTCCATCTTCAGTCTCTTCTCCCTCGACTCCAGACGGCTCAGATTTCTCTTCCTTTTTCTTATAGTAAAAACACGTGTTAAACTGAAATGCTTATTCTCCAAGCAGTAAGTAGCCCATCAGTCGGTGTCTCACCCTGAAGCTTATTTTGGGGACGCCTGGCTCTTTGGGGGTCTCAGCTTCCACTCCACTGGGAGGCTGCTCTGAGCTGCTCTCCTCCCCTGAAAGGGGCTCTGCCTGAGGAGCTGACAGGTCCTCCAGTGCCTCACTGATTTCACCACTGCTGCCACTGTCCTGGGGTGGGTCATCCCCAGGCTTCCCCCAGCTGGATTCTGGAAGTGAGAGAGAATGACAGTTAAGACTGGAAGCTCCTGCCTGGTTTCTGCCTAATTATAGTACAAGGCATGGAACCTTACCGCCAGTTAAAGTGTTATAATAGTAGGTGTATCCCTCTGGACTCAGTGACTCTACCCATGGTGAGTCTGAAGACGTCTAAAATGAGCATGAACAGTTCAATATACGGAACAATCAATCGTATGCGAGTGGAACTAATGTTGAGCATAAAAAAAAAAACATCACTGTAAGCACAATTTTAGAATGACAGCACCTGTGTCTCAATCTTAGTTTTCACTTGAGTTCTTCTTGAAGTCTTCTTTCCCCCAGTGAATCCTACTGGTTTTTCCCACTGGGACTCTGAAAAAATATAAATCGGCATTAATGAGGAACACCAGTGACTAGCGGTCAGAGAACACTTGTGTGAAGCGGGTTCCTACCGCCAGTCAGGCTGTTGTAGTAGTATGCATATCCATCATCAGTGACGCCCTCGCTCCAGACGCGCGGCTGCTTACTGCTGACGGCCGGTGGCTCCACTTCTGCTCTCCTACTCTGAGGCCTAGCAGCACCTGCACAAGTGCACAATATACTTAGTGACTGAGTAGATAAACATATCAACATACATATTTTGGTTCTGTGAATATAAAGGATGGAGAGAATACAAGGTCTCAATAAATATCTACAAACTTGCAATTTTCCCAGCAAATCATTCAGATGACAACCTTCCACTGTTTGGCCATATTTTACACACAAACACACACATACCACAGTGACTACACACGGCATTCAGTTCACTGACAAATTAAAAAGATACATTTTAAATGTTCAGGACATTTATCATGATCATTACTGATCAAGAGTCATGACAGCAACACAAACTCAGACCACTGAAATATTTAAAAAAAAACAACAAAACAAAATCAGCAAAAATTGTTAAGCATACATATACGACTCGGTCCAATCTGCACCATTATTCTGTGTTTTGCGCCTTGCTGTGTTCATATTTTAATATAGAAATCCATAACATGCATCCTTTGACGAACAGCATATTTCTTACACACTTCTCGGCTGTGCATATGTGGCCCCCACCTGTGCCAGATTCAGCTTCCAGCCGTTTCAGGTCCTCCTGAAACGCCTTTAAAGCAGCTTCCTCCATAGCCGCAAACTCCTTGGACATGCGGTCCTCCTGTTTAGCCTTTTCAATGCTCTTCTTCTTAATCTTAAAAACAGAGTGTCAAAGCCGCCAGCCACCAATTAGTTAGGGGCAGGGGTGGGCATGTTTTCACATCTTGACATCTGCACTTTATCTCAGAGAAAAGCCTTGCCAAGTTGCTGTAGGTTTATACCCCCAAAACCGCACGAGCGCCCCCTACAGCCCACTAGAAAGTAATTCGAAGGGCTCCCTTTACATTTTTACCCACAATAACTTTCGAGTCTCACGCAATCAAATCAAAATCATAGTAATACACCTTTATTACTGTATTGTGCATTCAAATTATAACCGTACCTCTGCAATTTTGGCGGCCACATTTTCTTTATGATTCTTTCCTCTTTCGTGGAACTCTATACTCTGAAGAGGAAACACCAAACTGCTCACAAAAACAGATCCTTGGCTGGAGTACAAACGCAGACGAGAAACACAGCTAGGGAAAAACGATCAAACAAATGCGAATAGTATTTGGCCATCATGTATAATAGTGTTGATTCAATAGAGTGAATTAACTACAAGAAAGATAACACGCGTCTTGAAGTCTTACCGGCTTGTTATCTGCTATCCAGCACTTACAATACTGGCAGAATTTCTTTGGTTGAGATTTCCAGTAGTCAGCCCTAAAGTAAAATAATATACACAGACAGATCGATGCATGTGCGCACACAAATAATAAATACAATAAGGACAATCAAACCCCCAAATGATATAATTCCCTATAAATCCCTCTGTTAATATTAAAGTGTCAGTGAACGAGCTACTACAAACTATAAAGCACAACTTGCTATACGTAGCATTAGGTTTACATTTATTGCTAACTAGCCCACATGGAACACCCAATATTGCGCGTTTAATACATCGTAGGGGTCACAAATGCCAATGAAGAACGCAATATACGAATGCAATGTATAGTTTGTATATACATAAACTTACATTATAACCACAAAAAGAAGTTGGTAAATAATTTGACTACCATTCAAATCACATTGCTAACTTAAGCTATCGTGGAGGATTCGCCGAATGGCAACATGTACGGGTACCGGAGAAGGCCAAAATACCTTTCGGCGAACGTTTTTTTCCCCCAGACAAGTTATTTAAGTTCTGTAATCTTTAATGGCCAAGATACGTGCATGAAATATATAAAACAAATGCAACTCGATAATGTAATGTACGCGTGGGTCATCTTAATAACGGACACCACAGCTCTTTTAAGACGGAAGTTTCGACTTCAATGACAACCTACTGCCATCGTAGCAGGGGCACAGACCGGGAAGTCAACAATTTACTGAAAGATCTCACGCACATACCAGTCTGTATGGAGTAAAATGTAATAATTATAACAACCATGAATTTATAATTGTGCATATAAATAATTGTATAAAATCTTTTAACACTATAAAAGAGCGATGCGTGTGTGCGTGCACTGAATTCACTCTGAGTGAGTTCGTACTTGTGCAAAGATGAGTATAGATGTGAACGGATGACATGGCCATTGGAATAGTAGTGTTTGCCTACAGTCTGTACTACACTGCAGATAGCACGGCCGCCATGGGGCGGCGGAAACGTGCGCGACGCGTTGGTGAGAAAAGCAATGGAGTCCGGCTGCAGGGATCCGCAGGTCCAGGATTCGCATCTGTTGGAGGAACCAGACTGAGCATCACGTCCCATGATTTTCAGTCGGACACTGTATCCGAGTCCCGAGCTACGCGTTTACGTCACTTTAATTTATCTAAATAATTACAACAATTATTTAGTTGTACGCAGATGGACCAGTTCTCAAAACCAAAGCAACGTGATTAATTCAAAGAACAATAACATATAAAAACAAGAAAATTACTTAGGCAAAAGTAGACTAAACGAAAAATATAATGCATTTTGGAGGCCATATTTGTGATCGTTTCAAAGAAATTGTAATTATCACAGTTTACTTATCAGCGCTTTCAGTTACAAATATAGTTAGGATCTTATTAAAAAGTATAATGTAATAAACACTGGAAATCAAATCAGTTGTTTAACAGTTACAAACTTTTGTAAATTCAGATTTTCAGCTTTATTAAAGTGTTAAAATGTTTCTTTTTTTTTTACAGCAAAACATTCTTGGTTTAGTCGTATTTAAAACGAGTAAAATAATTTCATTAGTTACAGCAATGTTTTTTTAAACAATTTCAAATATTATGCCCCAAGTAGACTTTTTGGATAAAATATTTTGCATTACAAATCTGACAAGAAAACTGTAATGGAGAGGGAAGTATCACGGAAATGCATACTGTTTACACATTCCTGTTGACTGAGTACCACAGAATCTCCCACTCAAGAACTACACGTCAAAATCGTGTCCCTGCTACATCATCAGTCCTTCTGCATTTCAAGAAGACTTTGTAACACGCCGAGCTGCCCTGGCCTGCTGGGTACCAAACACGCTTTTGGCGTTTCACTTCTCCAGCTTCATTACCCCGAGTTAGAAACATCCATCTCTCCAACGTCCCTCCCAGGGGGCACTCAGTGTAGAAAGGCTCTTTGCTGGAGCGAGTAAACTGATGGCAGGTAAACAAGAAAAGAGCGGAAAGGATCCTTCAAAATCCAGATATATATGTCAAGGTAAATCATAAAAGCCTTCCACATCTTTGCTAGGAAATAATAGTAGATGCAGTCTAATACAAAATTCCATGTTGTCTGCTAATATTTATAATTTTTCCTGCCTGTTACAGTATGTGTTTTTATTTATAATTTGACTTAACGGTGATAAAGGATGGTTTTGCATCTACCTGCGGACTGGCTGACTGATGTTACTATGCAGAACGGCACCGATTCCCATGACGGAGGCAGGCCTGGGTACGATGCCTCGACCCACTGTTGGTGGGCCACTGGACTTGCTGGGAAGGCGAATGCCGATACTGAGGGCACGGTGTGTGCTGTTGGTGGAGCATGGGATGCTGGGAGCTTGCATGGTGGGGCTGACGTACGCCATGGCTTTGAGGGCGTGCCAGGGGGGCGGCGGGAAAGTCCGCGCACTGCGGACATGCGGCTGCAGCTGACCAGGGGAAGGAACTGACCAAGAGGCAAGGTGTCATTTTTTTCTTATAAAATTATTCATACAGATTTGCTATCAATACAATTATATACTGTCAGAAGAATGGTACAGTCCTGGTACAGTTTTGTACCCCAAGGTACAAACAACATTGATGTATCCTCCAGTGGTACAAAGATGTTCCTAAAAGGTACATTTACCTACAGCAAGGGTACAATTGACAGGTCCTTGAGGGGACAGCCTAAATGCCAGGTAATCATACCCTCAAAGGCAAAAACTGGTACTTTTTTCTGACAGTGTAGTAACAGTCTGGTTGCATTGATGTTTTCAAGAAGTACCGTGGTGCTTGAGAATGCTGATGGTCTGTGCTTTTGGTTCCCTGACATGCACTGAACACCACTGACAGTTTACACACTGGGATGTCAACTCAAAGTGAGTTAAAATTATGCCAACATATGCCAACTGGTGCGAAAAGCCATTGCTAGTCAAGGGTGATTTGCATACTTGAAGACTGCGGCCTTGTTCGAGCCCTGGAGTAGTCAAAGCTTTGGCTGGTGCGAATGGAGGACTCTGAGCCGGCAGGGCCTGTAATGCTGGGAACACTGGGAGCACTGGGAGCACGCACAAGGTTAGGCATGCTTCTCCGTAACTTACCTACAGGAAAAACAATGTCATGTAGTCACTTAGAACCTGGGAGATACAGAAATTTAAAAGTGATAACATTTAGAAAAGAGATTGGATTTATATAAATTTAACATCAATCTTAAGTACTAGCATAGCTCAATTGCTATAAAATGGAAAGGTACTTTAGTAGTGAAGTTAAGAACATTTCAAATAGTAAGATTTTTATATTTAGATTAAACCTTAAAGTCTACTCAAAATAGATGATCCAATGATAATGAAAACCAGTTATTTTGGGCTGTTGGCATTATTTTCCATTTATTTATGAAGTGTCAAGATATTTTCCAGTCAGACACAAAACCCCTGTAATAAAGCCACCTCACCGATGTTGGGCCTTTGGCTTTGAGCGTGTGGTGTGTAGCTGGACCTGACAGGACTGCAGTGCTGCGGTGGGTAACTGGACCTGACAGGACTGCAGTGCTCCGGTGGGTAACTGGACCTGACAGGACTGCAGTGCTGTGGTGGGCAGCGGCCTTCAAAGCACTGCGCAGCCAGCAGGCTACGACGGCTTTTCCTTTCACTGTGGGACGGAGGCAAGCTGCACTGCTGGGTTTCTGGTTGATCGTGCTCTTTCTCTTCCTCCCCATTCAGCTCGCTGTGGGCTGCCCGCTGCCCAAACTGGATGAAACTGGAGCTGCGGCTGGTGGCCGAAGCCGAGGCGTAGTCCTGACGGAGACCTGGAGGAAGGAAGGAATAAACACACAGGGACTCATACAAATGCATAAACAAACCCGCACAGATTCAGATAAACACAAAACACACACAAAACGAGACCAGTCTCAATGAGCACCGCTTCAGCAAAGTATTCACTTTAACTACCTACTACAAACCCCACACTTCCATTACACAATTTCTACTTTTTGCCAGACTACAGAAAACAGAACATAATCATTTATTACTTCTAAACTTCATTTATTAGTTGCCTTTAACTTAGAACTAAGTGAAATACTTAGGACTGTGAAATACTTGGTCTTACCAAACTAGTTCTAACAGTGAAACCCAGCCCTGACCCACCCCTGACCCCCAGCGCCAATCCCACGGGAAGTACTTACTCTCCTCCTGCATCCGTGCCATGATCTGCACATCTGTCAAGTCCTGCAGCTTGTAGCCCATGGAAATAGAATCATCTTCCAGCTGGGGAGTGCTGAGGGGGGGCTGCGAGCTCAGAGTGGGGTGTCTGTACCCATCACCTTCAACAACAAGGAGGAGCTGGACATTTGTGCCACATGGGGGGGGGGACCTGAGAAGCTAATCCACCCCTGGAAATTGCTTTACTGATTTCTATAGCAGGAGCAACAAACTTCAAGCAACGAATGCAAAAATTCTGCAGACCTGTTTCTGTTTTACTTTTTGTGATTATATCCATCTGAAGCTAAGCATGTTTGAGCCTGGATGGTACTTGGATGGGAGACCAGCTAGGAAAGCTGGGTTGCCTCTCAAGGGGGTGTTGGGGTGGGCAGCAGGGTTGCCTGTCCTGCGGTCTGTGTGGAACCCAGTGCAATGACAGGGACACTGCACTGTAAAAATGGCACTGCCTTTTGGATGAGACATGAAACCGAGATCCTGACCCTGAGGTCATAACAGATCCCCGGGGCGTCTTTTGAAAAAGTTAGAGTAGTACCCTGATGTTCTGCCTAAAAATCACCCACTGTAGCCCTTTCAAATCAGGCCTCCTAATCATCCCCTATATCTAATTGGTGACTTAGCTACTGTGTGCGGAGTGTACTGGTGCAGAATGGCTGCCACTGCATCATGCAGGTGGGTGTTACACAGTGGTGGCCCCCCCACTGGTTCTGTAAAGCACTTTGGGTGTCTTGAAAAGCACTATATCGATGTAACATTCATACAGGCTTACTGTGACTAGAGGAGTGGGGGAAGAATGAAGGTGATCTCTCAGCTTGAGCAAGGCAGCCCTTCCCACTGGATGTCTGAGTCACAGGAGGTAAATGTTGACTGGATGTGCATAATGAGGCTAGACAAACGTAGAAACCAGAAAATGATCATACTACAGTTTCCCACACCCCCTGTACCTTTTACTCAAGCACATTGTAAAACTCATCGACATGCTTGTTCAGCTATTGATCTGAGACAGAATTTCTCAGCTGTAAAGTAGCTAAACTGCCCACTGAAGTAGTTTCACTATTCATGTAATCTGCCTTAGAAAATGACCTCAAGAAACAGAAAAAGGGAACGTATCGTGGCACAGGTTCTCTACTACACAACCCAAACCAACTGATGATCAGTTAATTTCAGGTTTTGAATAAATATAAAATAATATATGGTTTAACATTTCTGAAAAGCTGAAAACCTTCCATGTTGAGCAATGCACTATAAACTTTTGTCAACTTTTCAACACAGTATTTCAAATGTCTGCTGAAAAGTACTCTGCATATAAACAGCAAGTTTAATTGCTTGTGTCATCTAATACTGTTTTCATGTGCTGGTTAGATTACGGCACGGGTATGGATGGAGGATTCAGGCCAATTTGAGGAGCGTGTTCAGCAGCGCATTACCTGCTCGTTCTCTGGGTGTAGGTTTAACAGAAGGCCGGACAGACGTCCTAGGGGGCGGTTCTATAGTCACAGGGCCGTGGGGGAGGGCAGGCCTGGAGGAAATGTCTCTCCCTGGGTGGGCTGAAGAAGGGAGGAGCAGAAAGGGAGACAGGAGGTTATACTCCATGTTCTACCAGATACATCTTATTTCAAAGGCAGTGGGAAGATGTATGTTAAGGGTAAATTCCAAATTCCTCAAGTAATCCATACCCTTCTCTCTTAGACGGGCCACATCTGTCACACATTCATCCACATCTCACACTCAAGTCGACAAAGAAGTTGCCATTCAGGCTTCACAGCACAACAGAGACTATGGTATTAACACAAGTAACAACAAGATCTATTACAGAAATGCAATCAAACAAAAAGAAAAAAACAGCTTCAATAGCTTCAGAGGGCTTTGTTTAGGCTTTGTTTAGGCTTTGTTTAATGTCTCATGGCGAAGCACAGCGTGTGCACTTGACAGACCACCTTGTTTAACACCACGGCAACACTAGGCCTTACAAAATAGTTGTTTAGATACAGTACTCTGCAAAAGTCTTAAGCAATCAAATAAAATGATGTTTAATGATATTCATGTTGGTGAAAATCTACGATGCTATGTCTGTCAAAGCGTGTCAGCTCAGCCATTTCAAAACCTGCCCTAAAGTCACCCCAGTAGTTGCAGCAACCGTCCAATACACCCATGTGTTTGTTGACTCGGCCGCTACCCCACCTTGTTTGGTTTCTCAATACCTCATTGAGTTAACAAGCTAAGTTAATTAATTAGTTGAGCTGGTGGAAAAATATAACAAACGCACGGAATGGCTGAGGTGCCCCGGGGGAGGGATTTGGGAACCAAAGCGATGTTCGTCTAGAGATCCAAAAAGATGGCTTACATTGTGTTACTGCTACTTTGTTATAATGCTAAATTTTTATTTTGTAATGTTACATGTACATTGCTACCTAGATAAACAGCCTTACACATTTTCTTTGACTGAGTACTATAAGATGTTTACACAGTACTGTAAATCACATCGGTGGTGTCTGCTGTATTCTGGGATAGCATGTTTCAGAAGAACTAAACAGCTAAACACATGGAAACAGGCTAGAGCACAATGACTTTTTTTTAAAGATCAAATTCCCACCTAGTCCCATGTACATTATAAGACATGCTTCCACTAACATTTAAATCTAAATGTGTTAAGGGCTTAAATACAGAGAACAAAAGCGGAGTTCTTCTCAAAAATTTGGAAGCACATGCAGCCTCTGTTCTTGGTCCTACCACTATGGCACAAAACTGGCATTCACTGGGAGCCACAAAACACTCTTCTTTTCAAGCAACAGGCACAAAGCTGAATTCATGACCTAACTGAGCACAGCCCTGATCTCCAACACCACTGAATCCAGCCTTTCAACAAGAGACACTTCAACAAAACACGCACTTTGCATCAGACAGATTTCAGATTATTCATCCAGAGACTTAAAATTTTCCTAAAAAGAGTACTTCTTTCCAAAACACAATATATAAATCTTAGGAAGCAATCTAGATAGCTGTAATTTAAAATAAATATGCATATCTCCACACTTAGGAATGGCCTAAATGAAAAAAAATATTAAACTACTTAAGCCATGTTCGTATATAATAACTCAATATTCCAGCAACTTACAACATTACAGATATCTAAGGATTCTGTGGGGTACAGTCTGTGCATAAGGCATCTAAATAAAACACAAAAGGATATGAAGTGGTAAGACATCTCATGGACATACTGCAAGGGCTACAATCCCAACACTGGTGACCCAACATTGTTACACAGTGTGTGACAACACATTATGTAATGACATTCCATTATATGATGAAAATTTGTTACATTTTGTCGATTTATTGCATAATGCAGCATTATTACATAATGTGTTGTTACACACGACCATATTCCATTGTTGGCTGAACATAATGTAAAGTAGATATATGTTCTAATAATGGGGAAGAAGGAATGGTTGTGGAAATAGTAGAATGCTGTTGGGGGTAGATGAATGGGGGAAGAAAATGTATAGTATACAAGTGGCTGTGAACCATAACTAGACCATACTAAATTGGTTCTAGTGTACAAGGATGTAGAGGGATCGGCAGTAGATGGTCAAAGAGAATGATGTGTGGGGGTCATCCTCCAGGCACCTTGAGAAAAGGACAGCTGGGCAGCCTGGACGTCGGGCCTGGGACAGTCTAACACCTGCCTGCACCACTGCAGGGGGCTAAGGGCACACTGTGTCCGGGGCTTGGCCTTTGGCGATGCATATAGCCTACAGGAAAGGAAGAAGTCACCATCAGAAAGCCATTGAGACTACGTACTGGGGCTGTAATGGTGCACGTATCTGCCATGTACCGTTCGGTACATCATTTTCGGTTCAGTACAGATGATGAAATGGTTGAATATATTATTGACATGGGCGAAGCCTAAGTTTAGCTGTTCAACACAGAAAAAAAACATGTTAATTGTGGTTGGGAGCCGGTTACAACTAGTGTTGAGAGCTCAGAACCTCCCATGTCACTGGCATCAGTAGTTTGTGAACATTTTGGCTTCTAAACATTACACCAACACCACAGAAAGAGTAGTGAATAAGACCAGGACTGTCTGTTGGCTCTGTTATGCTGTATGCGGTTATGTTGCTGGAAACACATCCCACGCACTCATTTGAGACAACATCATCCGAATGCATCGGACCGGAGCAAGTCAGTCTCCCATGGCATTTGAGGTGCTTTTGCCAGGAAAATCCGACTGGGCTAAAAAAAAAAACTAGCTAAGGCTATAGGAGTGTTTATCACTACAGATATGTAACCAAACTTGGCAGCAGAGAACATGGGATTTACCTAATTATTATTGTTATGACATAATATTTTTGATAGTTACATTTATTTAACATTTATTTTTACAATGTGCAAATATGCACCTTAGGATTTGTGTGCAAACATATCGACAGATACACTGGGTTTGGTTTACATCTGTCCTAATTGTTTTTTATTTACGGTTTTAATAATAATTTCAAAATAAATTTTGTTTTCCCTGCTGTACTGAATTTGCCTGGAGCCATCAACTCAACACTAAGGTTTTATCAAGCCACAAATTTTGAGTACAATTACACCCTCACTGCGTCCTGTACCAGAATTTTAGGGAATTGGATATACCTGCACAAACTCTTATGTGTGTTTTGATCCAATGTGACTTCTCACATTTCTATTGAAATGACCAAACCTAGAAATTCCCTGCAAGAATCACATGGGGATTTCTGTTTAGCTGGCAAAAAATCTCTGGTATACTTCCTGTAGCACTGTAGCAAAATTAAACCACAAATTGAAAATTTTTGGAGCATACCTCTACCAGCTTAATTTAATAAATTATATGCAGAATACTTAAACCCAGCAAGGAACTATACTTATGTATTTTACAACACTTCATATGCATTAATAAACAAATGACGTGATTAACGTGAATACGTAATGTTACGTACTTTGCTGACGTAAATTCCAACCTTTATTTTCTCTGGTGCATATTACTAAAATGCACAAATAATACAAAAGGAACAGATAAAACTACTGAATAAATTAAATTGAATGCAAGTACTGTGCCGTGTTTTTATACAGACCTGGAATCCACTTCCAAATGTCAGCCATGTTAAACCTCTCTTGGAAGACAGCTGGGTCACATCGACAGCTTTATGTGAAAATCAGCAATAAAACACCAAAAACACCAGAGAGAAGTCCAACAGATTGAAACTGCTACGGCTGGATATGTTGAACACCAAACAGACCAACTTGTTATTCAAATAATTTTTGAAAAAGATTTAGCATTTCTTGCTAAATTAAAAAATTATTTATAAAGTTAATTATTTAAAATGATTAAACTTCCTTAATCACTAAATGCATACAGGTAGACAGTGGGAAATGCTCTTATAACTTTCGGAATATCTTATAGCACAAAATCTAACATCCATGTATAATGTCTATTAAATACTTAATGAACTGCAGTCCTAACTCTTCCCCTATTCTAAAAGAATAACCGATGTGACTATTTTGTCGAATTTTTCCATATCGTTGTTACTTTCTAATGTTCTTTTAGGCCTATTGATATTTTTACTCTATAATTAGTTAAAGCAATTAACTTTTTAGCGATGCTTTTAATTGGTTAATAGAGTGGAGATTGTTTCGGAATGATGAAACTACAGTACCAGGTGTCTTCTGACTCCGCATCGCAGGGAAGTATGAAGTCTAGGTCTAACAGCTGAACCTCATCCAGGACCGAGAGGCCATTACACACGTCCCGGGTCTCAGCACCGGCCGGGCAGCGCAGACAGAAATAAGCGTGAGGATCGTCGGCGGATGGCGAGCGTGAGAGTATCGGTGTCACACTCGGAATGCTATAGATTCCCGATAAAACCGGGCTGGAGGGGGATTCTGCGGGATTCCCCGGCAGACAGCCGTGTGTGCTCGTCCGGGTCCTCAGCTGCTGGTTTTGCACCTCCAGTTTCCTAACCAGCTCCTGCAGCTTTTTCACTTCCAGCTCAGCATTCAGGGCATTATTGTTACCGCTGACGTCCGCCGTCATATGGGGTCTCAGCACTGCCGCTTCCATCGATTATAACGTAGACAAACAGGCGCAGAAATAGCGGAGAGAGTGTCGCTCCGTCAGCTCCACACACTGAGCTGCTCCCGGGTTAAGAGCCATGTCCCCCCTCCCTGCACGGCGACACTCGGTACCATTTTTCCCCCAGCAGCAGTCGGCAGTCATGGATTTATAACACTGGGACACTGTTTGCTCCCCTTCCACATTTTATTGCGTACTGCCGTCTGTCCTTACTGTACATATGAATGAAAACTCAAGAAGCCACCACTATTAGATATGTTATTCAGTATTTTTCTTTTAAACTGGTCCTGTAATTGAAGTCTGTTTTCATTACAGCATAACTTAACATAGCATAGTCTTCATAATATATGTTAAGGTTATAAGACAGAATGGAACAAAATTATTTGCACAAAGAATTGGTTGAGCGTTACTAAAAAGAAAAAAAAATTAAATGTTAATGATAGGCTTTAGGTTAATATATGCTTCTTAATTCAGTTTGCTATAAATGCATGTATATGTCAGACTATAGTAAACGACTTGTACTTTGGTAGAGACAGAGGTCCATAAAGGGGTATGAATCTGATGGTAAGATGAGGTAATTCCTGTAAAATAACTGAGAAATAAAAGGTTGGGTCTTTGTGGTTGTTCGTACACATATGTCCTGCGGCTGTCTGTCTTCGTCCTTATTTTCATCTGCTTCATTAATTTGAACTGTGCCATTGTTCTGTAAAATAAGAAAATGTTTATGAACAACAGCAATAATTTCTTTTCCGTGACAAGGTCTATGGAAAAAATAAAACACGTCGAAAAAATATTTTAAAATCTGTTGTGAAAGACTTATGCTTGAAAAACACATGGCTTCTCACAGCAGTTGGACTTGAAAAATTAAACGCTTGCACAGAACAATTATTGTTCCTTTGTGTGCATGTCATTGTGTAAAACTGATGGCAAAACCATAACTTTAGTTCAGAACAATATGAACTGTTTAAAGGTGTGATATTTGGTTAATGAAGGCCCTATAAATCCAGTGTCGATGGCAAAAACATGTTGACGTTTAATTGCTTAGCCGTTTTTCTGATCCCTGAGAAATTACCATCTTATTCATTGACAAGACTCTATATTTAGCTGCAACAAGGCAGTTTAGGTAACCTGTTGGAAGGTGTTAGAGCAGGACCCCCCCCCTGGGAAACATACCAGCAGTGCTTAGCTTTCTAATCGGCGTCTTTACCCATGATGCATTGCTGCTCACATGTGACCAGCAGACACGCGACAGCAGAGAGCTTACCCCTGGTTATGCTGAAGCAGTGCCCACAGTACACCATGTGACGATGCACCCACATGTTGTCCCCAGCCTTTAGGTGCCCCAGAGAGCCATTGCACAGGTCACACTTGGAGAGATGCACACAGGAGGATTCTTGATAAATCATTTTGATGACTTACAACAGTAAGCGCACCACAGAACACATACGGACTGGCTGCAATGGAGTTTTCTAATTTTTCCATCCATTTTATCTTGTACCTTAAAGCAAGAGGCATGACAGCTGATCTCCACATCATCCAGGACCATCCTGGGCTCCTGACTCAAAGGCTTACGGCAGTAGGTGCAGAGGTTTTTTTCGTAGATTGTCCTTCAGAAAAATGGAGATGTGCCAATGTAAAATACACAAAGGGCAACTGCACGAGGGGCAACTACCCCTAAGGGTGCAGGAGAACATTACCTCAGCTTTTATCTTACGTTTTAAGAAGTGATATGGTCATGTGTGGTCTATATATATATATGATACATGTAAATTATAGAGAAATTTGACTAACCTGTTGAATGGTGAATAAGACGTTATTGATTTCGGCAGGAGAGTGTCAGCAAGACAGTCCACGGGGCTTCTGAAACGAAAGGGAAACAAATCATTTGTATGCAAAGGCTGAGGTGTCAGTGAGTTCAGAATAAATGACAAGGGAGCTGCATTTCCAGGCATGACAGCTGTAGTAGATTCCAAGGAAAGCAGAGGAATTCCATGTAGTGACAGTGGGAGTGTGCATCTTAGAGGGCCTAATTCACTGGCTCACCAGAGGACACTACTGCCTTTGAGGAAACAAATAACTAAACCATAGCCTGTCTATTAATGTGGCATGTCTGATTCTCTTAGCTTCATAAACATACGATCCCCATCCTGAACTGCTTACCAGCCATTCATGTCATTGATATGTTGTTCCCGTTATTAATGTTGCTCATTTGTCTTTATTTGCATTATTTATGCCAGGGGTGGGCAATCTTATCCGCAATGGGCCGGTGTGTATGCAGGTTTTCGCTGCAACTCCCTAATTAGGTCACTAATTAGAGGACTGATTGGCTGAAGAGTCCTCACACCTGGGTTTGAACAGCTGACCTACAGGTTATCCCAAAAACCTGCATACACACCGGCCCTTTGCGGGTAAGATTGGCCACCCCTGATTTATGTAATATTTATGCATTATTTAAATAGTGTAATCATTTTTTTTTTTTTTTTTTTACAATACATTAGCTTTACAGTTTGAACATGCAGACCTCGCCTCAGCATTCATAGGGGAACTCAGTGATACACCAGCCTTGCAGTCGTCTCTAAGGGACACAAGAAAAGTTTCAGTGATAGGCAGAAACCTTATTTATATCTGTGTTCACAAATCGCGACAGAAGGGATCCTTAGAAATATGAAACACTGAACCTTACTATTGAAATAGAAATCATATTACACAAGCAATTTAATGCAATGCTGCTGTCTTTAAGGGAAACGCAGTACCTGTGTAATGTCATTTTAGCTAAAACACACAGCCCTGTCTAACTAACATATCCATCTCCTTTTCATTATACAGGTCAACAAACTCACTGACTCAACAAACACATTAGATATCTATGTAGCATACATTTCATTGTAAAAAAAAATTATTAAAATAATCACAACAACAGAAATTTCCTGGAAGCTGGGACAATTAATGTCAGATGAAAAAACACATAAAATGTAAAAAAAGTCATAATTATTATTTTTGCATTCTCTGGAGTTTAAGGGCCTAACTTAAAGGTCTACAAACATGTGACCGTTCTGCTAAGGTTGGGTTTCAAACCAGTGACTTTCCACTCATAAGTACAGAAACTTCATTCAATCCATCCAGCCACCAACCGACCCACACCAAAAAAAATGTATTTTTAGATGTAATTAATTTTATTAAGACAATTGGTTACACTGAATTAATTTATCTACGAACAGATTAAACATGATAACTATGGTTGTTTTTATACATTTTTCATGTTTTTTCATCTGGCAGTAATTGCCCGTTTTTAACAGACATTTTCTGCTGCACCTGGAAATTTCAATTTTTTACAGTTTTTTTTTATAGTATGTATCAATCTACTTTTGGTATTTATCTCTAACTATTGCAAATCAGTCTATTTGTAGTATACATCTCAATCTAACACATCAGTCTGCTTTTATTATACAGCTCTACCTAAGTAATACTTAAATAACACTCCTTTTTGTCATACAGCTGCATTTAGCTAACACTAATGCATGGATTTGGTCACTGATCAAAATATAGACGAGAGGAGTGTTTGTAGCCACAACCCACTGGAGAGACTCCACTGCCTTCCACTCCGTCCCGGTCGCGCTGTTGTCTGCCAGCAAAGTGACCTTTGTAGTTTTCACTGAAATCAAAATGGCACCATGAAAAAGCTCTTCGTTAAAAAATGCCTCCTGCACTTTTAAAACTGCTCTGCCGAAAGGTGTAACTATAACTTCAAATCATTTTTATTTGTGAGCAGAATAACAATGAAACTCACTCTTACACATTTTGTGATGAAGTGAGTTATAGATGTGAGAATCCCAATGTGAAATCACCTGCTACTTCAATCAATTACAGGCGGCCCAGGAAACAAGGTTTACAAATCACAGGATATCCCAGTTTATGGACTTTGTTATTATTATGAATACGGGACAAAAGTATATATATATTTTGTAAAAGAAATATCCTACCAGGTTTTGGAGAGTATGGCTTGGCATAGTAGTAAGACATCTTGGATGCTAGGGTGGGATCAGCCTCTGAAAAATGCATTTTATTGCAGTATATATACAGAAAGCAACTGCATTTTCCTCTTTTTAATATAAGGAGTAATCATGACATAAATGAATCTTTGGCTGCTTTATATATTGACCGACAGAGAACACTATCTTTGTGATGGTTTTTGCAGAGGAAAGTTCTAGAGAAGATTAATATATATATGTGTGTGTGTGTGTGTGTGTGTGTGTGTGTGTGTGTTCCTATAAACGTTCACATCTACTGGACACTTTTGTTCAAAGCAACGTACAATAAGACAAATGAGTCACGGTGTGAACCAGGCATAAGAGCAGCTACACTGAGCTTCCATGTAAAACGCCTGTGTTTACGGACGGCACCCTGTCTGGAAGCTCAGAGTAGCTGCTCTTATGCCTGGTACATTGTGCCTCAGAAAACAAGGGCAGCAATACCTTAACTGTACTCGAGCAGACACCTGATGCTATGTTCTACCTCCATACAGACAATCTGTCTACCGACAGTCCACACAATCTGTGCATACTTTTGTAAGGCGTGCTTCACGTTTATCTCTACATTCCACAACCCTTTGTGCATACTTTCTCTTGATCATTTACATTTTTAAAATAGTCTAATGTCAAAAAGAATGCATATAAAGTTATTTTCCATATGCTCAGATTAATTCTTAAAACTCAAAAATATTTTGGCAATATTGTAGTAACAAAATTGTAGTACAACCATTTTAATAATAAAAAACAGACAATATTTAAACTAAATAAGTATATTTCCCTAAAAAACTTTTAGGGAACCAAATTTGTAGCTAAGTAATGTATATTGTATTAAATGCTGTCACTACTGTTACACTAAATAACTGTTAACATGAACTTTGAATCAGCATAATTATACTTTCAATGAATGTCGATTTAAGAAGTAAATTTACCTGGAAGGGAAAGCCGTCAGAGAATGTGGTGGAATGGTAAGACTCACATCTAAGTGCATCTACTTTTGTCCTCCAAGGAGGGGATGAGCCGGCTGAGGGCGGAGCCAGAACGGCATGCTCACTTCCTGAAAGCTCAGCAAATCTCACCACAATACCCAGTGGTTTGTCACCAAAGAGCGATAATTAACGTGCTTCTTTTCATAGGGGTTTCACAGGACAAAAGCCAATTATAATTTAAAAACACGTCGAATACCTGAAACTGCTTGATCTGACAAGTGTATATTTATTCAACTGATTTCATTTAAGAATAAAATATTCTGCATTTAATTAATTGTAATTTGCTCTATTTATTTTATTACCGGTCAAACAAAGGTACTAATAAATATTTTTTAATGGTACTTTCTTTTTATTTTAAAAATCATAACGTCATAAAATAAGACGGGGCAAAATACTGTAAATAAAATCACTGCTGGAATTAAATGATCAGAAATCAAACATAATTAATTCTTAGTTCAAATGGAACAAAAACCAACATCTTCTACTTCAGTCTAATCTCGAGCCATTTCAGCCACATCTTTCGTCTGAAATAAAACAAAGATCAAAGATATGGAAGAGAGTTTCATTGTCAGTCTGCTCACAAACAAGAACTGTTTTTTAATATCCAAAATTCTAGCTTTAAAAAAAATGTAAAAAAAAAAAAAACTGTAGCAAAGAATTTCTTGTGCCATAGCAAAAACAAAAACAACACAAAAAACACAAAAAACACTGCCCTACTGCCTTTTGTACTTGAAGGGTGTGGTGCAAAAAAATATTTTGTGTTTAGCATGAATTTTATTCCTACAATGGAATTTAAAAAATCTAATTTCTGATTTTGCATATTCTAAATGTAAAATGTAAAAGGAAAAAATGTTTATTACCAGATGCTATAATACATTTATTGTTATTCTGACATTTGTCTACCTGTGTGCGTTCTGTGATCTATCCCGACAAAGCTGTCAACAATTATCACATATTTTGAATCTGACCTGGCATGTCAAGCATTCATGATGAAACTGTGACTTTGGGTGCTGGCATGTGCAGTGCTGTGTACTGTGAAGTCACCCACATTGCAGGCCCACCCATCTCTGTCTTCACATGATGCTCCCATGTTTTCATGTTCCCCTGCTTTTCTATGATAGCCTCAGCTGCTGCTGACAAACATGCATTAGGATTGTTTGCAGGTAAATGGCTAACTCACCTACTTAACCCCTTTCTCCACATACAATCTCATCTTTTCTTTTGCCATACACACCATATACTGCTTTTTTAGCCAGGGTTGTGCAAAATTCACAATTTATGAATTATGCCCTATTCAATTAATTGGAATTTGAATTGAATTAGCCACACCCAGCAAGAGGTTGAATTAGAATTTTAATTGAATTGGCCACACCCAGTAGGAGGTCAAATTGGAATTTGAATTGAATTAGCCACACCCTGCAGCAAGAGGTTGAATTTTAATTGAATTGCCCATACCCAGTAGGAGGTCGAATTGGAATTTGAATTGAATTGGCCACAAATCAAAAACAGTTTAAACCATTTGTTTGATAAAGACATGGTGATACTAAAGATTACAAGAGAGACGCCATTTCTGGAGAAATCCGAATTCCAAAAGGTTCACTTTTTTTTTGTGAAACCACTTGAATTATGCAGGGTGACAGGGGTCTGTAAGTGACTATAGAGCAGGGGTCTCCAACTCCGGTCCTGGAGAGCTACTATCCAGTAGGTTTTCTATCATACCTGGCTTCTGATGAGCCACACCTGTTCTCAGGTAAATACCAGAAACAGGTGCCGCTCATCAGAAGCCAAGTGGGACAGAAAACCTACTGGATAGTAGCTCTCCAGGACCGGAGTTGGAGACCCCTGCTATAGAGACATTTCAGACCTAAACTAGCCTTTCATCTTTAAACAGGACAGTTTTATGAATACAGGCAAAATTGGAATGATCACATCAGAATTTAGAGTCCTTTGATTGGTAGTTTGGTGTCTGTATGTATATAGTGTTTGGCCAAGCTAATCTTGTATAGAATGTGAGTGGTCTTCCTAAAATTAAGCTTAGCTATCTTTATATGAATAGTAAATTAAATCCTCGATTTTCTTAAGAAGGCAGCCAGCTGGTCATGTAGTTTATTCAGCTAGCTGCTTGTAAAGTCAATAGCCTCCCACCCCATAGGTTGCTATGATGAAATTATCTGTTGTTGTGCAATACTTTTTAAACCAGCTTAAGAGAGCTAATATTAAGCATGCTTGTTATCCTGTCAACCAGCCCTTTCGCTTCTCCCTTTGTTACAAACCTCTCTTCTGCTTTAAATATAGGGAAGTGCATCCTGCAGGTACTGTATGAGCTGCATGAGCTTGGTAAACATTAAGTAGGCCGTCATTGTTTTCATGCTAATTTGCCATCTTGAATTTAATACTTTAGCAGTATCAAGTATTGTTAAGCAGTATCATGTAGTGTTGTCCTGAAAAGTTGTGGAAAGTCTCTCTGAAGCTGTGGCGTAGTAATATGTGAGCTGATTTGTCGATAAACAGCCTGAGTCCTACATTGTACGAAGCCACAACATGCTGACAAATGAGAAGAGCCCGTGACTGGGACCTCTGACTCCTGCTCTCAGTTGTCAATACCAACAGCATTTAAATAAGTATTAGAATTTAAAAGTAATGTACTCCGTAAAACTGTATTCTAATTTTACCTTACCAGTCAATTTTTAAGGCTAGTGCATTTTATCAAAAAAGGAATTTAATAATTATTCCAAATGTATACATTTGAAGAAATACTCTGATTTCTCATATTCTAATAAAATACATTTTGGTGACAAAATTACTTTTGTTACAAATTAGTGATCACCACCAACCTCACCGTTACATAATAACCAATCACACAAAATGAACCGATTTTCATTAAGAACATTCAATACTTTTCAAAGTCGGGCTTCCATAAGGGCCGCGCCCCCCCCCCACATTATAAAAACAGTGCTACTGAAAGTCTTGTCCAAGAAGGTCGTCATGGCAGAGGAACCTCTTCGTAGGTTATGTGGATGTAGGGTGGCTTCATTGGAAGGTACCAGTACTCAAAGTTATAGAACAAGTAGAATGTCTTTTCCAACAAAACCTTTTCGACAAGCTCGAAGAAACTGAGGATGAATTCTTTGAGTGACTGGTGTGGACGAAAGAAATAGTAGAACTCTCTGATATTTGCAGCCAGTCCTTCCCTGGAGGAATTGCCAAAAATTGTACTGTCATTTCCGAGAAAGGTCGGCTCCCCGCTGTACAGAAAAATCTTGGTGTAATTGGTCTGGGTGGCACTAGACAGTTTAACACCCATCTGGGCAAGTTTCCTGTAGGTGCGGTGCACAAACTGAGAGCAATCATAGGACTCAAACCACACAGTGGCGTTGGAACTGGGCTCAGCCTGGACAGTCCACGTCTCATAAAATATCCCTGTATTATTGTCTTTCTTGACCCATTCAGCCATATCATTGAACTGTCCACCTGAAAAAATAAAAAAAACAATAGGAAAGCATGACTTTACAGTTGTACATGACTGTTTATGTAAAATATTAATTTTTTATAACCCACAAACCTCGACTACAATTCATAGTACAGTGCAAAGTCTCAAGTGGACAACAAATATTATGATCTTCCTGTTGGTTTAAAACTATATTAAATATGGAAAAAAGTGTGTGTCAGCAATTTCACCCCAGTATTTGCAGCAGCCATCCAACACCCCCCATGTATTTTTTTTCGACTTGGCCACTAATGCACATTTTATATCTAATGACTGCATTGATTTTTGAATCTAATTTAATTAACTGGGGGGGGGGGGGATTTTACAAATGCATTGAATGACTGGAGTGTCTCTGAAGATATCAGAAACTTTTTATAGGAAAGAAATAATTCCTGTTAGTTTTTATTGTGTTGCTCTTAATTTACATTTGTATGATAAGGCAGAGCATTAAATTTCTTTAGCTTTTCAATTTAAGAGGTAAAGAAAAAAAAAGACCTTCAAAATACTTTTTTGTATATTACACACAGCAACAACAACAAATTTATTTTTGTATAGTGCGTTATCACAACATTACATCGTCTCAAAGCGCTTTACAGCATCCCCACCCAAAGCCCCCAGTGAGTAAGCCATAGGCGACAGTGGCAAGGAAAAACTCCCGAGAAGGAAAAAACCTTGGGAGGAACCAGACTCAAAGGGGGAGCCCATTCTACAGGGGCCGGCAGGGAAAGTTCCAAATGTTTTTGGAACTTAGGTTTGACTGCAAGTTTAGTTGGTTACCAATGGCAGATAGTTGAATAAAATAAGAGTGCCGAATACAGCAAGACCATCTTACGACTCGCTCTTCTGGTTTCACACAACCACCACCGCACCTACCTGACATTTGTCCCACTTTCTCCAGAGTCCCATTCTGAGTCCAGTGCAGGTCGTCAATGCCCTGAAAGAAGCAGGCGGCTCCTTGGTTACACCAGAAGGGGGCGCTAAGCTCCGGTCTTATGTGTGGGAAAGTACAGTTCCCCAGCTGAAACAGTTCGTACCACTCCATCGTGTAGTTTTTCTCCGTGTCACGGCTTCTGAAGCCAATCGCATCGTGCATAATACTCTGAAACGAAAGTGCGCAGGTAATACTTACATAAAACCCCCAAAACAGCAAAACAAAAAACACAACGCGTGATAAGAACTTACAATTTTTCCTAAGAGGTCCCCATATTTAAACTCCCACACTGGAGCTTGAAGTCGGAATATGTCGATTATATCCGAATCCCTCATAGGGGGAATACGGCCATCCCGGTCTCCAGTTGGGCAAAACGGGTACAAAGCCTGGCAGTAAGGATCGACTACTGGACGGTGATCAAATCGCCTTGGCAGGAAAACAAACAGCCTTTACATGTTATGCTCAAGTACAGAAGTAAGTTTCCCCGTAACAGTAACAGATGCGTAGCTTGTATGAAGAACAGAAACCTTTCAGTATTGTCATACTGAGGGGAAACACAGCTAGTGCCGATGATGAGTTATTTACCAGACTTGCATGGAAGTTAGCCAAATAACTCTGATTTTCTGTGCTGGGGCTTCCTCTGGAGTCCCCAGAGTTAGTTATGGAGAGAAGGACGTTACTCAAGCTGCTCAACGTTATGGACAATACTACACGCTCCCTATATAATCTACCGGCCGGACAACAGGGAGTTTTCAGGCTGCAATAAGTGTCGCTGCAATAAGGATCGTTACAGGAAGTCATTCCTGTCCATGACAATAAACTCTCTGTGCAGGAGGATGACCCTCCTCCTCTGAGGCAATACATAATGCACAATGCACATTTACATTTGATTTCCGCACTAAAGGCACTTTTGCATATTTGTACATTTTGCACATTTGTACATATATATTTTTGTAATTTGGTATTATGTCTCCGCTTATGCCTACCTCGTGTCTGCTTTTGTCATTTATGTAAATGGCTATTGCAACATAAAAAAAACACATTTGGGGATAAAGTAATCTGAATCTCAAATAAAAGGGAAACTACTAAAATGAACATTTCCCCGTTGCCTCTGCTTGCCGCTCGCCTGTCTACCTGTAAGGCACAGGCCATGCCTGCTCTCCCGCTGTACGCCCGCCATGTGCAAAGTCCAGCGATGTAATCAAAATGGTTAAAGACCAGATAAACATCCTGCTTTCCATCCGCAGATCCAACTTAACGCCAGCGGACACGGAGTCCCAGTTACCCGGCCTGGCCGCCGAACTTCGCCCTGTGCCGGCTGGTGGGGGCTGTCACTGTTAGCAGAAGCCTACAGCAGCCCAGAGACCCAACAAAACACTACGCAAACTCAGTCCCAACAGCAAAACAGCACTTTACAGCGCACCAGCAATACAGTTTACATTCACTTCCTCATTCGGGGGTGGGACGGCTGAACCGTTCACGTGATCATCATGTGACTCAAATTCTATGCAATCATGTGACAGGCGGGCAGCAAATCACATTACTTTGTGTGTGTGTGTGTGTGTGTGTGTGAGAGAGAGAGAGAGAGAGAGAGACAGAGAGATTTATATAATGAAATAAACCTCCTTATTCTTATTATTGTCAGAGAAGAGCCATTAATGCAGTCTGCAGTGAATGAAACTCTCGGTAAGAAGGTTGTAGTAAAGGGTTTGTAGCATAACTGCGTTTTTGCAAAGAGGAGTATTGCTTACTTAATATTTAACTGATATATAGATATTTTTTCATCCCCATGGGAAATTGGATTACTTTAACATATATCATTTTACCTTCGTTGGGATACACGATGCAGCGTCATCTAGCACCCAACACCCCTGGAGTAATTCTATATACGATCCCGTATTGTAAGGGAAGGATGGCAATCCTAGTTAAGGGCTTTGCTCAAGGGCGCAGTCAGCGGTGGAAGCACTTCACTCGCTATGAGGTTTGAATCAGCAACCTTCCAATCACAGGCCCAGGCCACACTTCGCCCCGTAGTTTTGTCTGCGTAAAGCGCTGGTTAATTTCTCCCAAAACTGCCATTCCAGCACAACTATGATATTTGTGGTAGTCAGTGGTTGTTCAGCAACCTGGTCAAAGGTGATTTTACATGCCTCGTCATCAAGGTGGAAGGTAGATTGATTTATGCAAACGTTTAGACTGGGACTCCCAGAATTTCCCCCTGGCACCAATAAATTCCATCTTAATGCTATAGTGATACTTTTATTAATCTTAATTGATCTGCGTTTCTATGGCTACACTGAGACACTTATCAGATAAGACCTACTGTGTGCTACGATGCATTGAAGCTACACTGTAGATACTAAAGAAATCTCACACAATAACTGAATTTTGCTACTCAATATCAACTCTTCCTTATAGACCAAGGTAAGCCCATTCAGACTACTGATCAGCGTGCAGTCGTGTGTATAGTCAAACCGCCAAATTACCTATTTACAGCATCTACTTCATTTACTACTTAATATTTGTACAAAGGCTACATTTAAGACGGGATATTAAGCTTGTCCACCTGTCTGAGGCAAGTAATAGGCCTATAGATAAAGGGTAAGTACAAAAACTGATATATGCATATATACTGTACATACATATATAATTTATATGATCTATATTATAATATAATAATATTACATGCCAGACTGCATTTAATGAATTAGCCCAGTTCCACCCCTGGGTGCAATCCATCATTGTTCCCACAGCTCGGCTTGTGTTCTAAAGATATAGTACATGGGTGGTCATGAACAAACTGGTGATAGATTTGCCAAGTTACAAGTAACCAAGTAATTTAACTTAGTAACTAAGTTAATGTCCATATATATGCCAAAATGTCTTCTTTCTTACATCATCTGTTCTTAAATGATAATTTTGATGGGATCTTAATTAGTGTCTAAACTGTAATTATTGATCAAATTCTTACACCTACAATATCGTAGCATTAAAACTTCGCGTTGAATTTCACGTTTCGGTCCGCTAGATGTCGCACCTCATGGTCCACATTGCAGGGCGGCTCGACGGATATTCTTCTGCTGATACTATGGGGTTGCTGGACTTTTAGTCGATGGTACGCAGAAATTTAGGGTTTTCCTTTAATGTGCCCGTCGCCATTGTTCACTACCTACGGCGACACATGTAAGACATGTATACACAAACAGGCACGTACATAGGGCTCCTCGTCTTGATAAAGAAAAGTCAACGAAATGACCTGTCTGAAAGCTTAGCTATTCTGTTCCCTTTAATTAATATTTACAACAAACACTATATATATGTATATATATACACACACACACAAATGAAAAATATATTTCAAAAAGATGCTGATGAAATACATAAACTTCCCTGTTTAGTCAGGAGCTGATCTGCAGATCTGCACATGACATGTAAGCAATGAGTTAACAGTTACAACTTGCATCAGAACGTATTTTACTCCTCCTATCTCATTCCGTTCGGTCGACATAAAGAAAACCACAAACGCTACTCAGATTACATTGGATTGTCCTAGTTGCCTGAAAGGCGAAAGCAGACATGGCTTCGGCGGATCTTTCATGCCGAGTTTCCAGTGCTGAAGACAATAATTCTCACTTTTCTGAAATAATAGAACTAAATGTTGGGGGACAGGTCTACGTAACCAGACATGCAACTTTAATTTCTGTGGCAGACTCTGTCCTCTGGAACATGTTTAGCCAACAAAAGCCCAAAGAACTACCACGGGACAGCAAAGGGCGGTACTTTATAGACAGAGATGGCTTTTTGTTCCGATACATTTTGGACTACCTGAGGGATCTGAACCTTGTCTTGCCTGATTGCTTTCCAGAGAAATGCAGGCTGCAAAGGGAAGCAGAATTCTTCCAACTGCACGAACTCTCCAAGTGTCTAAGTACAAAGATGAGTAAAGACAGCTCAGTGAGCGAGGACATCTGTCAAGGCGATCCGGACGAAGGTGCGCTGCTCGGCGCGGTCAGGGAGTCCGCCGCCAGCCAGCGGAGATCCGGCTACATTACCATCGGATACAGGGGCACCTACACCATCGGGAGGGATATCCAAACCGACGCCAAATTCAGAAGGGTGGCCAGGATCACCGTGTGCGGGAAAACGTCCCTGGCAAAAGAAGTGTTCGGGGACACCCTGAACGACAGCAGGGACCCGGACCGGCCCCCGGAGCGGTACACGTCCCGTTACTACCTGAAGTTTAATTTCCTGGAGCAGGCGTTTGATAAACTGAGCGAGGCCGGTTTTCACATGGTGGCCTGCAGCTCCACGGGCACCTGTGCGTATGTCAGCAGCGACCCGAGCGAGGACAAGATTTGGGCGAGTTACACGGAGTATGTGTTCAGCCGGGGGGGGCGACGCTGAGCGGCCAGTGTGGGCAGGGCGGCTGCGGGCGACACCCGGCGAGCAGCATCTACCCATGTGAAAAGCTGGCATGCCACAAAATTCAGTAACGCTGTTTTTCATTTATCAGGTCATTTCATTCATCGGATGTTGAGTGTTACAAATAATGACATTGAAAATATGAACATACTACGCAACTTCTTTATTTTTGCAATTGTAATTGAGCTTTGTTGATTTATCACCGTCATGGAAGGACACTTTTGGTCCGTTCAGACTTGTCTTGTTTTGTAATTTAATCACGTGTTTTAAATGTACGGTTAAATTACGGATACTTGCACCACAAAACTGTAAAAGTGGAATAAATTGTATTTGGATAGCATCACTGTCTGCGATTAAGTTTTGCGTGTTGAACGAACTTATAAAGCTAAACTGACCTGCGTTTTTCTGACATCTTTGGACTTAATTTCCTCATAATATTGAGCATATAAAATGCCTTTGACTAGTTAACTTTACAGTTTTATGTTGCCAGTTTATGACGTTATCCGCTGACACCAAAGGCTCGCATTATGAAGCCAGTGCCATATATTTTCAGAAATAAGTAGCTACATATTTGTCAATATATAACTGAACGAAACGTCATGCTGCTTTCATTGGTAATGTTCTTTTTGACGCATACATTTGAGTATATGGACTATTTTGTATGAATAAATACTACTGTGTGTGTGTTCATTTGGAGTTGTATTCCATATTTAGCAGAAGAAATAAAGCAAATATCTTTTGCACATTTTTTGCGTTACGTTCGTGCATGATGGACAAGTGTGATCACGCTGTTTTCAGGCTTCAGACGTAGGAGGTTTTACATTACAGGCATAACGTCGACAATCAGCAGAACATCAGTTTTCTGACTTCTGTTTATATGACCTAATATTTCCCCCTGCTGTGATCAAAGCAATTTCGCAATTACCAGCATTGCAGCTGTTGTGCAGCATATCCGGCGGGTGTCCGGCTATGAGGAACCAACGGGAGAAACCGTCAGAATAGAATTTTTGGATAGGAGATTGTCAGTTAAATATTAAGTAAGCATATTCGGTACATCTTAAAATAATTATACAAGATAAAATACAACAACGGATATCCAAGTCAACCTGCACAGATAGAGATAATTTATTATGAATAAATATTAGACGCAGCAACGCCGGTATTTAATGCATGTTAACTTATAAGAATTTATAACGGATTCTTAACATTGACCCCAGTAAGAAATCACTGGCTCTTGGAACACAAGGTAGTACCTTTGCGTAAATAACTTGTTGGTATCACTTCCTTATTCCAGCAATGTACTTACCCCATACTGGGAATCATGCAAGTTTATTTTAATGGTTTCTATTTTTGAATACAATTTTACGGATTACAGATATTTGCATACTTTTCTTTATAATTTAAACACTGTGGAGCAGGATAATTAATGTTTTGTTTTCTTTATATTTTAGCAGGAATATTATAAAGTACCAGCACCTGTTGTTATGTTTTTTCTTCTTTTTTCTTATTTCTTTGCTTTCAGTCAGACACTGGGCAATAAGGAAGGAGGAAGTTCTCAGTTCAGTTACCATTCTGCTAAAATGTGTTTTTAGTGGAAGTGAAAGCGCGGCCTATACATAGTCTCAATTTGCGAAGTTGTGACACTGCAAAACACTCTTGCTCCTTTTAATGGATCCCCGTATTCTCCTTATTAATTAAATAGACGTCACCGTTTGTTTACCACCATGCCGTGACAAGTAACCTAATTGCTGGATTCCGGGCTTATCGATGCGTATTTAGCTCCGAGTAATCTTAGATAAGCCTTTTCAAATTCTTTCATCATTAAAATGTCACCAGTTTCAATTACTTCACAAATCCTGAGTGTTTTAATTGCACCCAGCAAACATGCACTGCTTTTTGTAACAAAATAAATAAAGTTTATATGTTATTCTAAACAAGCCAATTACTCTGACTGCGACAGTTTCCCAGGCTTGTGTTTCCTCCCAAGGACCAAGGGATCTTTGGTCGACGTCGTACGAAAAAGACGTGCAGGAGATGCAGAGTGGACACCTTCAACATTTTGCTTTAGGTCGGACAATCAATAGTGTAAATTGAGTTTGTGCAGTTAAAGAAATTCTAGTGTAAAATATTTGCATGAGTTGTACTATGGCAACTCCAGTTCACATAGCAAGCTTTTGGACGGTGGGGGGGGCGAACCCCAAGCGGAAGGCATGTAAACTCCACACACATAGAGCCAGGAGTGAAACCACAGGGCCTGCAGGCCTGAAGCTCTCATGCAATCCGCTCTGCCACCTTCCGTGTTGCATGCAAGTAAGTTTAATATCTCTTGTTCTCCTTCAATGTGCAGAGTGAGCCTATGTTATTTGATAAGGAGACTGAAAAATACCACAGATTGGTATGTGTCTCTATCCACCTACAGACTGTCAGCTGTCATCCTACAGAGTCAAGTGGTGCTGTTTGTATAGTAATACAGAATCCTGTATTTTACAGTATAAATATTTGAAAGGTTACAATATGCCATTTTTGGTTTAATTAACACGAACAACATTGGGGAATTACTGTATCATATCTCATATCTGGTTGAATTTATTTAGAGCAGTGGTTGCAAACACATTAACCACAGGGAGGCAAAGAACAGCCTGCGCATCACCTGTTAGTAACTGGATTCATTTTACCCTAACCCACACGCTATTTTCTTTGTAGAAGTATCTCACTGTAAAACGCTGATTTAGAGCATGTTGCTGTAAGAAAGTTATTTATAAAGGATCTACCGCTTTTGCTGTGACATGAATTGAGAATGTTGAGCAAATTTAGAATATCACATGACAACAATAATTGATTGTGGATCTCATCAAGGTAATTTGGGCATACTTTACCTTTCCTGAGCTGAGCCAACCCAAAAGATTACACGGGGAAATCTAAAGGGACATGGAGTTGTCCATGTTGTTTTGTGTGTATATTCTCATGAAGGAGAGCTAATAAGATTAATCTGAAGAAAATGCAAAGGGTCTGTTATGTTTATCAAAAAAAAATATATATATGTTAATATATCAGTCTGAAGGTAAGAAATGCATTAAATAAAAACTTTAAAATGATTGAGCATGAAGCAATGTTGCTGTGGTTACAAACAGGTTTTCAGGTCTCTGTCAGAAGTTGCCACAGGTGCTTGTGTTTTTTTGACAGGAACATAGAATTGGCTTTGTGGCTTTAAATAAACCGCTTCCTAGATTTGGGTACAAGTGCAGTTTTTAAGCGTCTCCTTTTACAGAGACACAAAATCTACATCATTTGAGTGTTTTCTCCGTGTTCATAGTCTGTAAAGAGCTTTGTGACAGTGCTTAATGTTAAACACACTGTTAAATGAAAATGAAATTGTCCTTAATTTTGGACTTTGTTGAGGCCTTAACATTTCTCTTATGTTCACTGATTACATAGTATTTTATAGGGCCTGCAGCAGCACGTGGATCAGTGGGCTAAGCCTGTATGCCTGTCGCCAGTTCGAACCCGGCCTTGACATGTCTGCGGGTGCTTGAGCAAGGCCCTTAACCCCCAGCTCCCTGGGCACCCCGATAGGTGGCTGCCCTTCACAGCCAGCTTACTCTACAAAGAGCAAGTTGAGGGAGGTGTATTAGAATTTCCCCACGGGGATCAATAAAGTATCAATTATTATTTTTTATAAAAAATTGCTGGTGGTTTTCCAGTAGTGTTCGTAGCACATGAGAATAGGTCTCTCAGCTTGGTAAGTACTTTGCTTTCAAAGGCACCAGTGTGAATAAGCCGTCACTCTTTTTAGTTATAGAAAAACAATTTAAGGTCTGCATATGATTCCTTTCTGGGAATACAAAAGACAACACGTGTTATTGTCCCAGATATAAAGGTAAACAAGTATTTTGTAAAGTTCTTTCATCTAGGATTTCATTGTATCAATAATGCGTTTAATATATTTCACACTTATAGAATGCGGCGCAATGGCCTTTTGGGAATCTGCTGTATACCACCAGGGGGCGATCAGCTCCACACAGGCTGACGGTAACCTTGGTTTCCTCAGTGTTTGCCTCAGGTGGTACCAGTGGGATGTGGCTGGTGGCTGGTGATTGCAGAGGGCGTGACTGTTTACCTTGGCAAGGCTGAAGAAAGGAGAAGGTGAAGGGCACGATAGCTGCTAAAGTGTGCTTGGTGCAGGTACATACCGGAGGATAACTGCTCTGAAGGGGCTGGACATTCCTACCTAGAAGCAAGTATAGCTCTCTGCAGACTGGAGTAGTGGGTGTGTTGAAAGGTTAGTGGGCGTGTCGAAAGGTTAGCGGGCATGTCGAAAGGGTAGTGGGCGTGTCGAAAGGTTAGTGGGCGTGGCAAAAGGTTAGCGGGCGTGTCGAAAGGTTAGTGGGCGTGTCAAAAGGTTAGTGGGCGTGTCAAAAGGTTAGCGGGCGTGTCGAAAGGTTAGCGGGCGTGTCAAAATATTAGCGGGCGTGTCGAAAGGTTAGCGGGCGTGTCGAAAGGTTAGTGGGCGTGTCAAAATGTTAGTGGGCGTGTCGAAAGAATAGTGGGCGTGTCGAAAGGTTAGCGGGCGTGTCAAAAGGTTACTGGGCGTGTTGAAAGGGTAGTGGGCGTGTCGAAAGGCTTGTGGACGTATTGCAAGATGAGACCTTTCAGCAGGAATAGAGCGTGGTGAAGGGGGTAGAGCCACACCCATAACTTCCCTTGCGCTTTGTGGAAGTATGACAGTAAGGGTAAGCAAGCATAGAAATATCTTACACTATAGGAACAAATATGAAACAAGCATTTAATTATAGATGTCTGTGTAAAGCATGGAATTACACACCTTATGAGATCTGAATGTGAGAATCTGTAATCTCTTTAATAACAGTCATGATACAATGGTTAACTGACCACAAAATCAAGCTTCTATCACGGCCATCTCAGTCCCCTAACCTGAACCCTACTGAAAACCTGTGGGCTGAGCTGAAAAGGAGAGTACACAGGAGAAGGCCTGGGACCCTGGATGATCTGGAGAGATTCTGTAAAGAGCAATGGTCTCAGACGCCCTGCTTGGTATTCTCCAACCTTATATAAAGGTTACAAGAGAAGACTCTGTGCTGTTATAGCGACAAAGGGAGGTTGTACAAAGAATTAAATGTAGCTGTGCCAACAATTGTGGCACATGTATTTCTGTTAAGAGTATTTATTTCTTCATGAGCCATTTGTTTTCGTTTGAAGAAACTTGTTTCAATTAAGATTTTTCTCACTTTTTCAGTGCAAGATGAAGGTGCTTCAGCAAACAATGTTTTTTATTAACCCTTCATTCTGATATTTACAAGGGGTGCCAATAATGGTGGAGGGCATTGTGCTTATTTCATTGCTCAGATAGAAAAGCTTATTATTAGTGATTTAGATTAGCGTAGTGAAATTCTTAAATTTAAATTATTGGAATAAAATATTTTGATATGACAATTTTTCTTGAACATTTTTGCTTTGATAACAGATCATTAACCAGCTATCCTGCCTCTGCATTTCAATGAAAATCTAAAATAAATTATTGTTATTCTGAGCTCTGGGGAGCCCAAGTTTTTGCACTTTTGTATTTTTAGCCACAAGATCAGCAACCCTGTCATTAGCAGCAGGGCTTAAGTTATTGACAAACTATGTCTTGTCATGCAGTTTAAGCAACATAACGGTCGTCACTGTTTCAGGAAACACAGAAAATGCACATTTTCTTCATTAGTCATGGAGGTATTTAACAGCAGC